TCCGTAGCACATGTGGCATATGTAGTTCCGGCATCCGTGCATTGTGAACAATGCCACCCAAGAAGCCACTTGACCAGTTACCATCGGCCTGCGAGGAGTTGAAGAGGGAGCTGCTCAAATATGGAGGCAGCATCACGGGTGCAGGAATCGCAGGTGTCGAACGCCCCCTGAGGTCTCGGGCCTTCAGCAGCCTCAACACCGTGCTGAAGAGCTCGCACTCGGAGAAGTACGCGGGGCACGGCAAGCTCAGAGGCGACGAGGAGCGTCGCGAGTGGCTTTCGCATTCATCGTGGATCCGAAGTCGGGCGGTTCGACCATGAGGAACGAGACTTCCAGGTCGTCCTCTTTCATCGAGAAGGGCGAGCACGCGTGGATGACGATCGAGGAGTACGGGGGGCCGATGGGGATCAACAGTCCTGAACACGCTAGGAGGAGAGTTCCCCTCTCGGCTCCACGAGTCGCACTGGAACCCGCGGCCCGAATCGCCTGACCCCCAAACAAATGCCTTCCGATTCCATTCCCCCTCCTCTGGCCTCCATCCTCCGCAGCCTTTTGGCTCCAGCGGTGACCCGCCCATCATGACTTTGACTGCGCTCACGCCAGTATTGCTCGTTCATGTTATCTTTCTGCCAGGATTTGGTCATGGGCTCAGGCAGCAATTCGGTCTCGACGAGAAGTCGAAGCGTTCAGTTGCTGTTTCTGCTGGTGAGCTGGCCAACAAAGTGGAGGCTTTCGCAACGAAGAGGTTCAAACAAGGCAAGCTTTCTGCAGCCGAGGTCAATGAACTGATGGCGATGTCAGGTCGAGCTGCTCCGGCGAACCCCAACCACGCCCATCGCGATCTAGTGACTCGTCTTCGGAAAAGATCCAGAATGCCCGAAGTGTACCAAGCTATGATCGACTTGTGGGACTACGACTCACATTCAAAAGCGCAGTATCTAGTGAACTTCCTGCTGCCATACGAAGTATTCGACGCCCTGGCAGGTGAACCTGATGCGTGGACTACCTTCCCAGAAGGCGCTGTCCTCAACCGAACCAGGTTTGAATGGGCTTCTCGGGTTGGACTGGCTGACCCGCGGAACGCCGCGGCTGTGGGCCTATGGGGCGACGAGGCCCCCTTCGCAAACAAGGGTGAACTTTTTCTGATCGATTGGAATTGCAGGAGCTGTCTCGACGACGAGACTCGCCACTGGATCCGCGTCATCCTTAGTTCGCTGCATTGCAACTGCGGGTGCAAGGGCCGTTGCACTTATGATGGAGTTTGGTATGTTGTGACGCGGTCATTCAGGATATGGCTCGCAGGAAAATACCCACTCGAGCGACGCGATGGCGTCCCATGTTTGGTTTCCACGTACCGACGGGGACGCTGAACGAGCTTCCAGAGCCTCCCTTGGTCGAGAGATTGCACGCAGAGGGGGTGTCATACAAGGCCGGTTCGATCGGGGTTTTTTGAAGAGAATCATCGGCCTCAGAGGTTGGCAAGGCGACGGCCCTACCAAACGAATGTGTTTCAGGTGCGCTGCGGACAGACACTCGTTTCCATTCCACGATGCCAGCAAAGACGCTGCATGGAGATCTACAGTCCTGTCACACCGTGACCATGTGATTCAAGTGCTTCAAGATGGTGAAAACTATTCGGTGTTCTGGAGCTTGCCAGGCTTCGTGCTGCCTTGCATCGTGCTGGACCTCGTGCATGTGTGCGACCTAGGGATAGCACAGTACACGCTTGGCAATATATGGTTGGAGATGCTGTGCCAGCTTGGAGGCTCCTTGACAAAGTCTGAAGAGGTGCTGTCACAAATAACGGTGTTCATCAAGCACGCGAGGAAACAACTTGGTTACGCCAGGCCGCCATTGAACAAACTGACAGTTGGTATGCTCAAAAGCAAGAAACAGACAGCTCCTCGCTTGGCGTTGAAAGTTTCAGATACTCGACTGATGGTGCCAGTGGCACATTGCATACTTGAAAAGATGTTCCCCCCAAAGGAGGGCCACCAACGCTTGAGGTTTGAATGCGTTCTTGCCCTGCACCTATTATACAAAGAATTGCCGAGGTCGAAAATTGATGATGGTTCAGCTGAGTTCATGTCTTCAAAGCTCGGCAGGCTGGCGCGACAGCATCTCTTGTATACGTTGAGTTATCAAGCCATCGTGATCGTCCCACTCTGTGGGACGCGTACAGGGTGTATCCGAAGCACCACTGGTTCATTCATTTGGCCGAGGAAGACTGCCATACACGTGGCAACCCCAGAGAATCATGGAACTACGCCGACAAAGATATGATCGGTATTTGCGCGGGGTCGGTTTCGGACAGTGCACAGAATTGCGGTTTCATTCATCGGAGTGCGATTGAGAAGTACAGGTTGTGAGATTTGTGGCGGTGCCAACGCTGCAGGAAACAACCGTCCTCGTTTTCCCGCTCTTCCTCCTCCTGCTGCTTCTGCTGCTCCTCGTCCTCCTCCACTGCATTCCCAAAGGCTGTCGCCGCGTCCGCCGATAGGAAATGGGGGGGGGGAAGAGGGCGAGGAGGAAAGGGGGAGGAGGACGAGGAGGAGGGGGAGGCGGAGGAGGGGCAGGAGGACAAGAAAAACGAAAACGAGGAGGAGGAGGCGGAGGAGGTTGACAACGACGGCGGCGACCACGACGAGAGCGGCCAAAGCAAGGGAAACCACAACAACCCAAGAAACGCCCAAGACGGCCCAATATACTTCCATGGCGGCGCCGAGAGGGTTTCTGTTTTTTTCCATGGGCCGCAAGATAACCCTTAGAACCGACGCAGAAGCTCCGCAAACAAAACATGCAAGTAATCACGCAGGCCCCCACGCGGCCTTCCAAGTGGTTCCACAACTGTTTCCAACAGGTCACAAAGAGCCTTGCACGACTCCTGACCGAACAAAGAATTGCGGTCCAGAGACACAACGCAGGCACAGGGCCGAAAACCATGTACTAGCATGACACAACATAAATTTTCTAATGTTGAACATTCTAATATTTTAGTAAACTTATTAAACTAATGTAGATTTTTCTTGAAAATTACGAGGGCAGGTTTTTTTTAAAAAAAAAAATTAAGATAATTTCCTTACTTTTAAGAGTTTCGGTGGGCTGGGCAGGTCCACAACTGGCTCCTGGCTGCGCGGGTGCTTGCGGCCCATCTGGTCCACGACGGCCGGCGCGACGGACGCGGGCGGTTCCGACGTCAGCGAAGCGCAGCTTTTGGAGTAAAGCCGCTTCGCTGCCAGGTCGAGGCGGCGCTGTGCTCGGTGAGTCGCCTTGCCCTTCCCCGCTGTCTGGCGCCGCTCTGTTGTCTCCGCCCAAAGCGTCTGGCGCCCTCCCTCCAGACAGCGGCGGCAGAGGCCCTTGGCTTCCTGTTCGCTGGCGTTCCGGCTGCCTCGGCCTCCGCGGCTGTGTGGGCGCAGCGCGCACTTGGGCAGCGTGGCCAGTTGGACCCAAGCTGCTTCGGTGTTGTGGTGGGCCGCCAACGCCGCGGCCTGCGCCAAGCACTGGGCCCACAACGCCCCGGACCCCTTGGGCACGTGGCGCCTCGTGCCGGCGCGGCCGGGGCCCTGGTTGGCAAGCCGCGCCGCCAGCGTCGGCCAGAGGGGCTCGGGGGGCGGCGGCGGCAGCAGCGCGCGCCGCTGGCCAGCGCACTCCTTGGTAGCGGAGACCGTAGACCCAGGAACCGCTGACGCACCGAGCATTGGCCGAGGGCGTGCTGGTCAAGGGACACCTGCGGGACGGGCGGCAGGTTTTAGGTAGCGGTCCGCCGCGTGCTCGTTTTAGCGAGCCCTCGATCATGCTCTCCTGGCTGGACCGCCCCGGCGAGGTGGCATGCAGGATCCGCGCGGGGGCAGCCGGGTACCAGGCAGTAGACGCGGGCCCGCCGTCGGGCTGCAGGGCGGGGCACGGCGGGGGCCGGCGGCGGCGGTTCCGCGGCCGGCGGCGGCGCGGCAGCAGCGGCTGGCTGCGCAGCGCGCCGGGGCCCCCCCACTGCCGGCGTGGCCGGAGGCTGCTGGGCACCCGCGTGGGCAGCTCATTCCAGCGCTGTTTTCCGATGCTGTTCGGCCAGCGGCACGCCCGCATCCTCGTCCATGTCGTTAACGCCGTCCAGGCGCATGCTGTTGATTCGCTCGTGTAGGAGGAGGTCGTCGCCGGGTTCGCCCCCTTCCGTGCGGTTGCGCCTGAGCGCGCGGCGGCCCGGGGAAACGCGTGCGCCGACCTCCACTAACGTGTTCCTGACCGACACCTCCGGTTCGAGTTCCATTTGCCCTGGGCCCGCCCTCGACGCGCTCGCCGTCCCAGCCGGCGGGGCCGGCTGCGCAAGGCGTTGAGGCGATCGGTCGCGCTCTGGGGCCGGCCTGTGGAGCCCCGGCCGCAAGTGCACCTCTTGCTCTCCCAGTGGCATGTGCTGCGCACCCCTCCGTTCCCCGAGCCGGCCGGGAAAGCCGGGGCCATTACGGCCCTGACAACGAGGACGGCGTGGACGCCCGAGGCGGAGGACATGTTTGAGTACATCGCCGGACTGAGACCGATCGTCGCGGCCAACGTGCGGATCTCGCAGACCGGCCTGTCCACGTGGAACTCGGCGGCCAGGCTGCCCCCTGCCATCTCGCGTAAGACCCATTTCATTCCGTCTCCTGTGCGTGTTTACAACCAAGACGCTGAGGGTCACGTTGAGCTCAGCAGGGGCTCTGGTTTCCGCGCCGTTGCTTACATGTAAGTCGAGAGATATGTTCGTGGCCGAGACTCGCTGTGGCGAGGGGGGGCCCGACGTTCCTTATTCAGCGCACCTTCCCGCAGCACGATGGCTGTATGTGTGAATGCAGCTCACGTGTCGACCTAAACGGTGTTTTGGCAATGTCGTGGGCCGATTTTGTTTCGCCCCCGTTGTGCAGCAGAGGCGGAACGAAGACAGAACGAGGGACCACGAGAACGAAACGAACACTAACACGAGTGGCACTCTTTGGTCGAGCCCTGATGCAGCTTTGCTTCTTCTCCCAGAGGAGTACCGGCTGCTCTGCGCGGCTGGCGGCGGCGCGATCGACTTATCGCGCTTCGCGGAGCTCCTGGACGACGCCTCCGCGGGCGGCTGCTTCTGCAGCGTGGAGGGTTTTCCCGATGGGCTTGGGCGACCCGTCCTCCTCTCTCCTCCCTCCTCCTCCTCCTCCTCCTCCTCCTCCTCCTCCTCCTCCTCCTCCTCCTCCTCCTCCTCCTCCTCCTCCCTCCTCCTCCTCTCCCTCCTCCTCCTCCTCCCTCCTCCTCTCCTCCTCCTCCCTCCTCCTCCCTCCTCCTCCTCCTCCTCCTCCTCCTCTCCTCCTCCTCACTCCTCCCTCCTCCTCCTCCTCCTCCTCCTCCTCTCCTCCTCCCCTCCTCCTCCTCCTCCTCCCTCCTCCTCCTCCTCCTCCTCCTCCTCCTCCTCCTCCTCCTCCTCCTCCTCCTCCCCCTCCTCCTCCTCGGGTCGCCTGCGGCCCCGGGGGAAACCGTCCACTGCAGCGACGACGAGCTGCTGGCGGTGCTGGGCCACGGCGGCGCGGGCGCCGGCGGCGCTCCCGCCGCGGACCCCGCCGCCGCGCACGGCGCCGCGCAGGATCTCGGAGGAGGACGAGGTGCCAATGCTCAGAGGCCGTGCCAATGCTGAGCTACACTGTCAGTGCCTCGCTCTCCTGGGGCTCTGCTGTGTTCTTGCTCGTCAGCCGTTGTCACGTGTGCGGAGCTCCATTGTCAATGCCGCTCTCTCCTGTGGCGTTGCTGCGCTCCTGCTCGCGACGCACGCCGCAAGAGGCGGCGGAGAGCTTGAGAGATCCATCCACAAAAGAGAGGAGGACGAGGTGCCAATGCTCGGAGGCCGGGAGGTCGGCACCACCAAGATTCGAGTAGGAGATCGGTTGCAGACTTGGTTTGCTCGAAGAAAAAACGCCATAAACGTACACTCTCGGCGTTCCGCGAGGATCTCTTGGATCCGCGCCTTGGCCCACCGGCGGCGCCTCTGGCCGGCGGGTCTTGCGCAGAGCCAAGATATCCGCGTTGAGCGCCAACAGTTTATGTTTATGGCGGTTTTCTTTTTTCCTAACAAGGTGCCAATGCTCGGAGGCCCGGAGGTCGGCACCACCAAGATTGGAGCAGGAGGTCGGCTGCAGACGTTGCTTACCCCACAAGCTTGTTTTCCCGCCGAGTCCACGAGCACTGCGCAGACTTTTCACATAACTACGGGGCAATATATTGCCTGTAGACCCGACCAACCAACATCCAATCCGGGATGGACCAATTGCGTAGTCGATCCCCTGCTCGAACGGCGGCGGCAGGCTTCCACCGAGGGAAGATGACCCCGATCTCGACGATGGTGGCAAGAGCCGGGCTTGTGGCCGAAAGGTTGCCACGGGCACCAGAGTCCGGGATCGTCGTCCCCTGGTGGTTTGATGTGGCCCCGAACTGGTTCCGACCTTCAGGCTTCTGGGCTCTGGGCTCGGGGGCAGGTTTGGTTCGTCTCCTGCTGCCTCTTGAGGCCGTCTTCGGGCCGCGGGGCTGTCAAATGACTACGGACCCGGGGTGAGCCCCAGATGGGCTCCCGGGCTGGGTCCAGGGGCCAGTGTTGTATGGAGTTGACCTTCACCTCCTCCTCCTGTAGTCTGCATGTCCCTTTACAGGGGAATTAAATAAACATGTCCTTCAGGAGCTTCGGGGTGGAGGTCGTGCAACCACTGTTGTTTTGCTCTGGGGACTGCTCGGGCGTCGTTTTCTTCAGGGTCGAAGAACCAGTGTTTTTTGTCTGATGGTTGAGAAAAAAGGTATATGAAATGCACATGAAATCACTATGATGTATCGCTTTGCTTGTAGATTGGTGAGGGTGATGCGATTGATTTGAAGCAGGTCGGAACGTCAACAATCCACAACATATGTGAGGTAATTCAGGTATTGGGTCCAATGAAAAGGCCATCTGTCTAAGATCTCGAAGAGCCCCAAACGGGTAACATTAACGCTCAAGGCCCCCCCAAAGTAAGAGACTTGCGAAAATGATATCCTAGAAACGTGCGTGCGTGTGTATGTGTGCCGCAGCCGTTTGGCTTCAGAACGTTCTTCACATCAGAGTTCGATGAACGAGTTTGATGATTTGATTCAGGATGAATTGGACCGTTTTCGTGATGAACTGGACGATTTGATTCAGGATGAATTGGACGACTTGATTCAGGATGAACTGGACGATTTGATTCAGGATGATGTTGGCACCGCGGCGCCAGCAGATTCGAGCCCACCGCAAGATCCTGTCAGTGCTGGCCGCCAGGATCCCGAATTGGCAGAGCTTGCGCTGGCTAGGCTGATGGTGGCAGCCGCTCGACGTCAGCGCGGCTGACCGCCCAAGAGGCCTCTGCAACCCAGCACAGCTAGTCTTGCAGTACGACAGGCCGACGCTGCCAACTCAGCACAGCTAGTCTTGCAGTACGCCGACGTCGCACACATGCCAACTGATGCCCCAGATATGCCATATGATATGGAAACTATGTTACGGATCCGCTACATCGAGTTGTTCCCCGGCCCCGTTGGTCAACATTTGGAGCCGTTTGTCGGGCTTGCGTTGAGACTGGGGGCGCGTCTGGATCTGAAGTCTGCAAACCTTACGAGAAAATTGTTTAAGATAATATATCAGTTGTGTTCAGAGGAATGTTGAAGCTCTGGCTCACGATTCGTCGATGCACCCAGTTACGGCACCCAGACTCAGGATTGTTCAGGCGCAGATTTGTTGGGATGTGGATTCGCCGAGCAGGCTTAGATTCGATCGGGCACTCGTTCGTTCCCCACAGTTTTCAGCATTACACTTGTGCGACGTCGACATGTACGACGAGACTCCGATGCCTGTGCGGCTGAGGGACAGCATAGAAGAGCTTAAGCATAGTGAAATGCTTCGTGGTTTCTGCCAGCAGTCATCCTTGTGGAGCTGGAGCGATGGCATCATTCGTTTCTCGGAGTCTGGCACCGCCAAGCTGTTCCAGTTCGAAAGTATTTGGGGCGCATTGGCATTTATCGAGGACCAGGGGTCTCTGCGATTTACCATGGTCACTGGAAAGGCAAGGTCACATCTCCAAGCGTTTGACCGAGAAGCTGGCCAGACAGCTCGCCACGGCCTCAGGCAGATCTGGACGACAACTCATTTGTGCACCGAACACGGTCAACGCATTCGCGGATCCGTCGCGGACCGAGGGGCCGCGAATGGAGCCGCCGAGCGGGGAGTTTGATGTGACAATCCTGGGTGGCAGCATTTGCACTTGGACTGCCGCGCCCGTCTCCCAGCGCTCGTGTTTGGCAAGGCGTGCCTTGCTTGCGAATGGATCGTCATGGGCTTGATCAGGGCCGCACTGGCTACGCAGATAGCGGGGCCAATGAGCCATTTCAGAAGATGTTTGGAACTTCATATTCGTTCGATGGCGCAGTTCACCATTGGGGGGCCTCCAGCGGAATACGGTTTGCATGTGCGACGCGTTGTAGCTACGCACGGGAGGTCTGGTCACAACCTCGTTCAACGACTCGTGGCGTTGAGAATGTTACCCAGCGGCGATTGGACGGACAGGGCTCGCATCGTCATCTAACCGCCTGCGTTGCCGCGGGATGATGCCCGAGCGAAGCTCTGGGCCAATCGTGTCGTCGCCGGCCTGTGCTTCGCGGCGTGCCCACCGACTTGTGAGAAGTTCTCTCGGGACAGGAGGTTCGGCAAAGAGGTCAGTCTCGACCAAATCGGATTGCTGGAGCATTGCCGCGGCCTTTTCTCGAGCGCGCCCAGGAGGAGTGCATCGGAAGTGGAGGGCGCCCAGACAAAGAAGCGGACCGCCATTGCTTCTGCTGGTTTTTGCGCGGCCCTTGGAGATCAGCTAGTTCTTGCTCTCTGTGGCGCGCCTTTGCTGATCCTGGCGCAGATGGCGCTGGCGACGGTGGCCCGCCTTTCGGCCGCGGGGGTGCGCGGCCGCAACTTCCAGACGACGCCGAGCGCGCGGGCGTGGAGGTGAACGCTTGCGAAGCGCAGGAACGTGTGGATTCTGGCCATCGAAGCCGTGCGATGGTCTTCGCTAATGCCGTGTTTCTGCATCACTTCGTCATGCGGATCGTCGCGGTTCCAATCGTGGAGACGTTCAGGGAGTTCGATTTCCTCGCCGGTGATGCTTGGGAGGAACGCCAGAGAGCGGTTGAAGCTCAGGCGCTTCGCCTCGGAGTTGGCGCGGGGGCTGCTCAAGTTCGGGGGTTGCATCGCATCGTCGTGTGCGCCGAGGGTTATGCGGGGCAGACTTTCTTCAATCAGCTGAAGAACTGTTACAATTCATCGAGCGCAACACTGGGCTCAACAATGCGCGTGTCTTCAAGATCATGTCTCGATCTGGTGCGAAGACGGAGTGCGAGATTGCTGCTTTGCACAGGCGTTGCCCCATATCTCGCATTCTTGCCCATAAGCGATCCAACCATCGCAGGCGAGATGATCCGCGAGCCCGACTGCATCTCGGGCCCTCTCTGGAGGGAGTTCCGGTGTGCGAATCCAGATTTGCTCCGAGTACAAGAGCGCGGCTGGTGCTGTCGGCGTTGCTGCACATCCCGAGCATCGCGGGGATCGAGGCGCCCCGCACTTCTACGCGGCAGGTTCTCGGGTCAAGATAGGTGACTCACATGGGGAGCTGTCTTGATGCATCCAGCGATTCCTTGTTGAAGCGACTTCGGAGGCGAGAGAGGGTGCCGCCGATGCGGCGTGAGATCTACATGCCAAACGTGCCTCCTCACGAAGCCCCACGCGTCGTTGCCGAGCCTGTTCATCGTCGTGGAGGTGCCGGGGCATGGAGGGCTTGCGCTTCTTCCGCAGGTCATGGCCAGGTCAGGGATTTCCATGCGCTCGCCGCCCAGTGCATGGCCATCACCGACGTGGAACGCGAGTGCCTCAAGAGGCTCGGCGCAGAGGGCACGCAGACGCACTCCGAGAGTCCCAAAGGCCGAAGCTTCGGGCCCACTGTCAGGGATGAGGAGAGGGCGGCAGCTAGATCACAGAAGCAAGATATGTGCGAAGCTATACCGCGTGACATACAACGTGATGAACTACAGAGGGAATGCATCGCTGGCCATTGCGGACTGCGTCGTGGCCAGGAGCCGTTCTTGGCACAATGGAGAGCACCTTGCGGAGACGGCAAGGAAGACTTTGAGCCGCCACAAGTCCAAGAAAAGAGAGGATGAGCGCATGTCCGTTATCAAGCTCATCGAGACAGAGGGCAAGGGCCGATGGCGCCTGTGACTGCCAGGCCGCAGGGAGCTCCATTTGTTGCGCGACGCCTCCGAGCCCTGCCGACAACCAGGGGATCCTTTGCGCACCAGATACCATCAGTCGCGCATCGAACGCCCTTGCTTGTATTTTGCGCCGAAGGGATTCCAACGGTCGCTCCGTATGTCGACGCGTTGGCGCTGAGTCTCGCGGGCGGCGTTTCATGATTTGCCGCGAGGATTGCGACGAGTGTCCGGAGGGGGCCAAAGATGCGAAGACGCTCAGGGAGTTTCTCACGGCAGGCCGCTGCATCCACTGTTGCCCAGGCG